TCAAACAGTTGGACTATATCTACTTGGGTACATCGATAAATTAGGGGTATTAATCGATTCGATTTGTATTGGTACTAAATATTAAACGTCGTATTGAATACATTGTTATTTTAAAATAATAAAATTTGATAGAAATAATTGTTCATAATTACATAGTATTTTATTGTATTAGTAACAAAAATCCGGATTCCAGATAAAGTGATAAATAACTCTTCTGTGACACAAGTATCCAGCATAATATTTTAGTATATTTTGAGGAGTATTTATACTAGTTTTTACTTCATTACATTTATATACATCTAATTTACTGATGCCGAATAAAAAGGGAAAATACTTTGAACAGTTTGAACGAGAACTTTAAAATCAAGTGATATTAATACCTTGCCACCTTGACCTTGGGAGAACAACAAGATAAGTTCCTATTTTGAATTTTTGAAGATATTCTGGGTGACCATCTTAAAATTCGTTATCCTGTTTAACTGTACAGAAAATGTATGCAATAACTCAGAAGAAAATAATTGCATTTGTAAGGTTGTTGTACCAGTGTCCAGTACAAAAGAATTTAAGTATTTCTTTCATGAAAAAGATACCATGGAAAAATCGATTTCAGGAATATCGGGACGTGTCTTGTTGTTACTCCGAGGTTAACGTATAATAGTGTACCTATTAAGTGTTTTTAGCTGGTTTGTGGCTATCGTTTAAATTCACCGATCATTTCCAATGTTTAAAATTATAATTATCTATATTTACCCAGTCGATGTTTAATCTCATCTCAAATCTTATCACTATCCGTTACGATTAACGTTTAAAAAATAACACTCGGCACCTTTCCAGCACAACATGGTTAACACTTATTACAATCAGACGACAAGCAGTAAATTATAATTTTTTTAAATTTTATAAATGTCCCAGTTCAATCAAACTATTCGAACTGATGAGAAACTAAATAGACGACGTTTGGCAACGTTTCAAACATTAATTGAAAAAATTCGTCTGTGTTCAATG